TGTACGTGAACGTACAATTCTGCCTGCGATGCCAATGAAGGACTCTCCGGTGGATGTACATTTGCCCAACCAAATGCCTTTGTAAAACCTGGGCTCAAGTTTTGGTCTTTGTTTGAGGGACTGTACCATGTACATTACTGTTTCTCCAAACTCGCATAGGGCAGCGTTGTGTGTTCTTCCCCATCTTTTGTGGTAGCTTGTGTAGCCATCTGCTTTGATGAGGAATCTGTTGATCAGGTATGCTGAGTGTCGTACTGCCCAAGCCATGATTGGATGTGTGATTGGCATTCTGTAGTTGTAGTTTTGTATGATTTGTTCTCTGAGTGTTCTGATGTGGCCAGCCAATGTACGATGGAATCGTTCAATGCTGCCACTGCTTTGTGAGCTGTATGCTGGTGCAAAACGCACTGTCATGTTGCCTGTTGCCTTGGCTGTAGCTCTAAGGAGCGCCATCAGGTATTCCTCTTGGTCACTTTGTAGAATACCTTCTGTTCTGCCACATTCCAAAATGAATGCTTGTAAGGATGTTTGAGCGTATGCAAACTGGCTCTTTTTGTCTGTAAGCATTGTTGCCATTGCCATGCCGGTTTGTACGTCGATTGCTGTCAAGATTGGAACTGGCAATTTGTCGTTGTAACCTCTGATGTAGGCGAAGTCAACTTGTATGACTGGCTGTCTTGATGTTTGCTGTTGGTGGCTTGTTTGTCTGCCACGAGACTGCATGCACACAGGACACCAATTCCTGTATGGCATGTGTGTGAGGTTGTGTTGTTGTATCTCTTGCGGTGTTGGCTGTACTGGCTGTGCCATTGCTTTTGCTTTGTTTGCGCTCTGCTTTTCATCCTCTTCTTCTGTTGGCATCTCTTGCCTGTATTCTCTCTTCTCCTCAAAGGTTGTGGATCCTGTCCACTCTTGCTGTCTTGTCGGCTGTGGCTCTGTTGTCCAGTTGTCTTCAATTCTTCTAATGTTGTTCTCCTCGTATATGTGGGTTGCCCTGTATGGAAGTAGATTGTCGATGTCTGGTCCATTGTCTTCAGGTGTTGGTGTGTAGAACTCTTTTCTCGGCTTCACGTGTACTCTCTTCCAGAATCTTCCTTCTTTGATCCAGTAGTCTGTTGTACCATCCATCTTCATCGGTGTTGGAAGTGTATCTTCCTTCTCCGGTTGCTTGCACGTGTGTCTGTACCTAATCTCCTTTCCTTCATCTGTTCTCTTCTGAACTTGCTTTTCTTCTGTTGTGCTTTGTTTCTGTTGTCCTGTCTTTCCTTTGTTGATCAGGACTCTGAACCATGTTTCTCCTTGCCAATTTGTTCCTGTAACTTCTCTGTTTGCTTCTTGCTTTGTAAGTGTCTTGAACTTGTCTTCAAGCACTGACTGTGTACCATCCTTGTTGTGTATGATTGTTTTCCTGTAATCGTCCAGTCTGTCAAATTGTACTGGACATGCTGATTGGTTGCCGTATCCTGGTGTGAACAATGCCTTTCTTCCTCTCTTGTGTACTCTGACCAGGTATCCTTGTTCGTTGTACTTCCAGAAGTCGTTGTTGCCTCCTTGCTGAGGTCGTGGTCCTGTTGCTGTAAGTGTGTGTGTTGGGGCAATCATTGCCACTTGTCCTTGTGGAGTGTTTTGTATCACCAGTTTTGTTCCTTCTTCCAGTGGTGCTGTTTCCAGGTGGACGTAGAGTAGTCTGTCTTTACTTGTAAGTGGTGCCTGAAACACATCTCCTTTCTGTAGTGTAGACTCTGTACCTCTGAGGTTGAGTTCGAAACCTTGTTCCAGGAGTCTTGTAACACTGACGATGGGGTGTCGTATGCCATCTATGACGTAGAATGGCATCACCAAGTGTTGTCCTTGTATGTTCTTGAAGCGCACCCATCTGTAGCCAAGAACCCAAAGGGGCTCATCTGTAACTGAGCGAAGTGGTGGTGCTTGTTCCTCTGTAAGAGGCATCAGTGGAAAGTCTGTACCAAAGGTTGGTGGACAGACTTGTACTGCTGCGCCACTGTCGATCATGAGCTCGACAGTCTTGTAGGTGTTGAGGCCTGTGGTTGTGACTGAGGCAATTGTAGTTGTTTCAAACTCTACTGTGAAAACTACCTGCGCTGGTGCTGTAGGCATCTGTGGTGCTTGTTGTTCTTCGTTGTAGGTTGCCTGCTGTGTTGGGTTGTACCATTGCTGTTCTTCTGGGAACCACTGTTGCTCGTAGTTCCATTGCTCTTGTTCTGTCCATGGCTGTTGGTAGTATGACTGTTGTTGGTCGTACTGGTCTGTGCCTCCATTTGTGTCCATAACGTTGTAGACTGCCACTCTGCAGTCTTTTGCGTAGTGGCCTGGTTGACCACATTTGTAACATGTTCCTTTTCCTTTGCCTTTGTTCATTGTTGTACCTTGCCACTGTGATGGTCCTTTTCCTTTGCTCTTTCCTTTGTACTGCATTGCTCCCTTGTAGGAGTTGCCATATCCAACTGCTGTTGGACCTTTTCCTTTGTATCCTTGTTGACTGTATCCTGTATATCCTTTTCCTTTGTTGTACCATTGTGTCTTTCCTTTTCCTTTGTTTTACTTTCCTTTTCCTTTGCCATTGTACTTTCCTTTTCCTTTGTACGTAGCTCCTATGTCCATGGGCTGTGTCTCATTTGTGCTGCTGTTCATTGCCTGTTGTTGTGCCTGCATCCTGGAGAAAGCTGTTGTAGCCCTGTGATACTCAAGAATGAGTTCTCGAATGTCTGCATACCGTTGTATGGCTCCTGCTCTTAGTTGAAGGTGTTGTTGTAATGGTCCTTTGGTCTCGTTGAGTAGTACTGTGATTTTGATGTTGTCTGGTATTGGTGCTTGGTTGTCTCTTTCGTACCTTGCTATCTCAAATTCCCATGTTGTAAAGGACTCCTCAAACTTGTTCTCGTTGAACTGTGGCTTCAAAAGCTTTGTAAGGTACCCGACGCTGCGTGTACCCAGTGGGATGGAAAAGCGTTTGTGTAGTTGCCTCCAAGTTTCAAGGCCAACTGCTTGCAGTGTATGTTGCCTGCAGAGGACAGCTGCTTGTCCTTGGCACACGTTGATGAGGATGTAGTGTAGTTCTTTGCTGAGTTGTATCCATTGTTGTGCTTCTGTTCTGTCTCTGGCACCGTCTGCCAGGAGTTCATCTGTAACTGGCTGGTCAAAGGTTTCTGCTATGTGTAGGAGTCTTGGGAATGCTGAGTTCTGTAGCCCCAAGTAGGCCACAAACTTGTGTTTCCATTCTTCGAATGTTGCATAGTCTCCTGTAAACTGTGGTGGTGGTAGTTTGTACCTGTGTAGCGTGTTGAGGTCTCCTCCAGTTGTAGCTGCGGCCATGTTTGTTCTCCTATGTTCTCTCTCTTCTCTGCTGTAGCTTTGTTGCCAATGTGTATTGGAGCTCACCCTGTCCTGTATCGTCCAGGGATCACTGCTCCGCTACCATGTTGAAATCAAGTGTACAACTTCCCTGTCTGTACTCTCAGCAGCTGTAGCCCACGCGCTGTACTTTTCACTGTAGCGCTCGAGTAACGCTAGCTCAAGGCTAACTCAAGGTAACGCTCAAGGGCCCTGTATGGAGCCCAAATGTATCGTACCATGACATGTACTCAGAGTGGACTAACATGTTGTATCAGCAGCTGTATAGCTCATGTACATGTGCAGGTGTATTCTTAACAATCATCATCATCGTCATCATCATCGTCATCGTCCTCTCCATCGTCCTCGTCCTCGTCCTCGTCCTCGTCATCATCATCATCATCGTCATCATCATCGTCGTTATTCAATTACATTTTATCATTATTGGCAATTATTGTCATTATCACGACAGCTAGCGTCAGCTCGCTAGAGTCTTCTTGCTTTAGCACGTATTCCGGGGCTCCCCAAGGACATCACGTGATTTTTCCCGCGAAAGGGCCCCCCCCTGCCCCCTCCCCCATATATATCATTGTTATATATCATATATCAATATATCATTGTTGCATCATCCTCGTTGGGACGAACAATGCCGCGACACGATGATGACAGTCCCTCCGCAACTCACCTCTTCCCTTCCTTCTTTCTCCTACCCCGCTAGCTTTCGTCATCTACCCCCGGCCTCAAGTTTATATAAGTGACGTAAGTTATACTGTGGTATACCTGGGGTATACGAAGTCGCTTCGGCTGAAGAAAGGGATGCAGAGTGTGGATTCATCCGACCGTCTCAGGGCGCTCACAAAAAAACATCTGTGGCTCACCTCGGCCGCAGCAGCTTTGACGAGCACTGGGCACTGGTGATCGGATGATTTGAGATGGCAGATCTCAGGCATTAAGCCAAACATGTGGCCTTAAAAGTTGGTTCATGGAATCTGTTTTAGTTGTATTAGATTTCAGAGATGTGGCCAGTTGGCAATTTCAAGTGGATGTTTCTTTTTCAGACGGACCGTGGACCATGGGCAACATCCGCGCACTTGGGTGGTGTAAGCATTGAACCCACATGCATTTAAGTTCATACTTGTGAGAAGGCTGTCAGATGCTGTCATATATTCCTGCTGTAAAAACCAAAAATGAACGCATTTTTCCTAAATGGTTTTAAACACTACGTATATAAACAGCAACTTTGGGTCACTGGGGTAGACATAGATATCATTGAATTTGCCCCATTAAATGTACGCAACTAAAAGTAAGAATAGAGTCGGTGGACACTGCTTGACATGAGGAACTACTCTCCCTGCGGAAGGGACCTTACCAAAGAAACAAAATGAAGGACTTGTGCCAGTGAAGGACTTGTGTCAGTGGTGTAATTTGCATCCAATGGGTTCATCTACCTGTAGAAGACAAAATCATGTGACTCTTATATCTTCCAGCCTGCAAAGATGTGAGATTCCTTGGACACCCCGTGCTCGCTTTCCAACCAAGGCATTCTCTATTCTCTACTAACTTCATATTCAGGCCCCGGGAGACTCACCTTCCATGTAAGTCATGAAGCGAATCTTGCAAAGGCATCCGCCTGTTGGTTCCAGGCCAGAATGGCCTCAATTTCGCAGATCATGGAGAACGTCAGCGAGGCAGAGTGGGGATCCAAAATGACCATCGATGCCATCGCCGAATTTTCATTTCCAAACTTTGTGTGTTGTTTTCCTTAGCCAAAAAAATCTGGAAACATAGCAATTCTCAGCCATCAAACTGAACTGCCTAAAATCCATGGTGCTTCATGTTGATACTTCTCCGATCAGCGGATATGTTTTCTTCCTTCATGGGAAGAGTTCTGAGTTCATTGCGCAGGTCCTAAGTCCTTTGACCTCAGAGTTGCTGATGTTTGCTTTGGCGGCGTTGGTCTATATTCTGGCCAGCCGCTCCCTCACGGTGCCCGTCAAGAAGAAGTCAGGCGAGGGGTGGGCTTCCTCTGGTTCAAATGAGTCGTACTTTTGTTGACCGACTTTTGAAAGATGGGTGTGACATTATTCGAGAATATCCAGGGGCTCTTTTTATTTTTGCGGGTTTGTTTCGGTATCTGCAGTATCTGCAAGATTAGGGATGTACATTTTGGAAAGTTGGAGTTCCCAGCACCACCAGGATCCGAGAAGGACGAGCGAAAGGCTGCGCGGCCACGGCAGCCATGGAAGAAGGAGATGGAGGCGAAGTGATCAGGAAGATTTGATATCTGCTGTAGTTGAAACTCGGGATTTGTATGGATTTGTACAATTCCCATCAATTATGCATGCTGGGGGATCATGCTACCCCTTTTGAAGCGGTTCATTCAGCCAATAGATGTTTGGAATCCAATATTGGTAGGATGTATCCTACATGGTCGGAAGGAATTCCATTCAATAGGTACAGATTTGATTTTGGAATTCAAATATCCGACTGTTTGCCCAGTCAGGATTCCCGCAATATACTGGGTTGTTTCAAAGAGTCCACTGCTTTGTGTTTGCTGGTCTTTTGTGGATGGGCTTGGCCTGAGCCATTTTCTTGTGAGATTGGTTGCTAGACCCCCTTAAAGATCCCACGTTATTTCCGGAGTCGGAAGATGTCGGAACCATCTAAGGTTCCTCCGGATTTCGATCCAATGGACTGAATCAGCGATTTTCTGGGATTGGTTGCTGGACACTTTCAGATGGCTTTGTCTGAACATGGGGGGTACCAGCATTTTCCCCATAACAATGCTTGCAGGCCATATCTTCAAAGCCAATCAACCCAATCCTCCATTTTCGGACACCTAGATTCCAACTGGGGGAATCAATCCTCAGCTGGCGGCTTGGGATGGTTGGGCTGTTCACTTTACACGGCCAGGAAACCGCGGAAGTGTATCACGACATCCTCCAGTTGGCCAAGGGTGGGAAGGGGGCAGATGATGCTGTTGGATGGGGCTTTTTCCGTGTACCCCAATTTATGGCCACTATAAACGATGGTATATTATGATAATTGAACCATGGGATTTTTGGGCTGTTTTTGGGCAACCCCAATTGGGTGTTCGTAAAGACTTCGAACCCCTGAAGGGTTCTCCCGCATACAAGTATTTTTGTATATATACATTTATTCGTTGTGACCCTTTACCCAACTCTGCGTTTGTTGAGATGCATGGACACCTGGAGAAAATGGGATCAGCCTGGGACATCTCCCAATCGTTCGTTTCCATGCCCCCAGTATTCAAGGGAAAAGCTACAAGCCGATCGACTCATTTTTGTGAGGGTGGCTCAACCACTAACCAGATGATTTCCTCAGCCTGATCGTAAAACCATTTGGGGGTTTCTTAAAATTGGGATCCCCAAGTCACCATTGGTTTCACTACCATGGTCTAATGACTTGGATGATTTTGGGGTCACCCGTAGATATCATGGGAAAAAACATGAAAAAAACCAAGGGTTTCTGAGGTTTCTGTAGATTTTCCCTCAACCCAACCCATTGAATCGAACAAAATCCAGGTGGCGAAGCCTCAAGGGCCCTCAGCGCGATGAAACGTTTGGATTCCGCCACAAAGATGGCGTTGCCGTCGCAAGTCGCCACTAAGGTGGAAAATGTGGGGGGTTGAACGGGTACCAATGGGTCCCAAAATTGGTCAAGTTTAGATCAGAGAGTATGAACATGCTATGAACATCTATGAAAGTTGCAATTTTCGATATTTTTTATCTTGTTGGAGGTCAACCGGTCAACCATTTTACACTCTACCCATGTAATGATCCCATCATTGGGACTTCAGGGGAAATCTGCAGGGAACCACTATGTTTGTCCACTATGTTTGGGTGTATTTGGATGGCAAGAAAATACTGTCCTCAAAGAAACTGGATTAAGCTGGTGATGATCATTCATAGCACCCTCAAAGGCCTGAAGCCCATGATTTTCTGGTTGTTCGGACTACCATTGATTTCATAAAAGCCAGCTTGGAGATTTCTCAAAGGGTATCCAGGATGGAGACCAAGGTTTGTGCAGGCATTCTGTTGGGAGAAGCCCGCGATGATTGAGGTCTGGTGGCTAAAAAAAATTATAGCCCTCGATGTTGCGAGGGTAAAGATTATATATATATATATATGTACACACGCATATACATGTATGTATATGGTATATAGTATATAATATGTATACACAAAAAATATACTATACTATCATAGTTACAACCAATTTTCTGGGTCCACTGGTGCCTCAATTTTGATGCATAGCCGTAGCCCCGATCGAGTTTTGGCAGGTACTATTGGCATTGGCCAAGTCTCCGCAATGCGAGAGCCTCAAAAAAGACTTTCTGGAGCTTTCTGTCCATTTCGATTTGAGCTTCGTCTGCAGTGGCGAGATTAGGGGTCTGAGACACCATTTCTGGATCCAATATGGCTATGGGTCAATACCTATAGATACATTTTTAGTGGGATGAACATCCATTTACCAGCTATTTTGGGGTTCACCAGGGGTACCAGGGTTTTGACCCATCCCCATATGGAACGGGAAAATCATGGAAAATCATCGATTTCATTCCATCACTTGATGAATCTTGGTTGGATCACCGGAGGGATCCAGGGCCAGAGGGTGGGTTTGTCTGAACAAAATTCGGACCCCTTTTTTTCCCATCGTTGATCATTGTCTTACCCATTATCCCATTAAACATCATTGAACTTGAAGATGTGGGGATACCCTCTGGTTATTTAACATAGCCATGGATAATGGCCCATTTATAGATGGTTTACCTATTAAAATGGGGATTTTCCATGGCTATGTTAAATAACCAGATGGTAAATTCCCAATGTTCGGATAAACCCAAATCATCAATGATGCACCTGCGCACTTGATGGGTATTTTGTTGCTAAGTTGCGTCGTTTTCAACGGCCTTCTGTACTGGCATCTTGTCCTGTTGCCAATCTACAATCCAGTGTTCCACTGCTTCAATGGAACTGCCATGAAACTTCTGAGCTCCTATGGATTGTTAGCTATATTTCCAATAATGTCTCAATTAATATATAAAAACATATCCCCATTACATCGCCATTATATTCCCACATATTCCCACTACATCCCCATAACATCGTTGATTTTATAGCTACAAATGTTTGGGCACATCCCTATGATAATGATTATTTATAAAATAATATATATATATTATATAATATAATATGATATAATAATATAATATATATATACTATAATCATAATATAACAATAATGATATATATAATATAATATAATATAATATAATATAATACACTATATATAATATAAAATATACTATACATATATATGTATAATATATATATATATATTGTATGTAATATATATAATACATATATATATATGATATAATACATACATATATATATATAATATTAATATGTGTATATATATATATACAGATAGAGATATCCAATATATAGTTAAATTAGAACGACCTCACGTCCCGACGTCATAGGAATGATGGGATAGGTCATAGGTATATCCCGAAATGGCCGAAGTGTTCAGGTTCTGGGGGGGGCGGCAATACTTTTATCAAGTTGCCAAGCGATCAGGAGAGTTGACATATATATATATATACATAATATATATATACATAATATATATAATATATATATATATACATAATATATATATATACATAATATATATATATACATAATATATATATACATAATATATATATACATAATATATATATATATACACATAATGTACATATATATACATAATACATATATATATATATATTATGTGTATATATATATAATATATATATACATAGCATATATATATACATAATATATATATACACATAATATATATATATATATACACATAATATATATAATTTACACAGTGTATATATATATAGTATGTGTCATTTGTGGCAGCTAACTATTGGTTCGACATGGTTCGACCATGATTAACATGTAACATGATCATATTTATCCTTAGATTTATTTTGCATGTATACTGTGGGTAAAACAATGCCATTTGCACCATCCCCCAGTCATTACCATAAATAGATAGGTGGTATATACAAAGCAATCCCAGTTCTGGGTGGTTTATGGCATTGTTCTTCCCACATTAATTGGTGAATATCTATCATTAATTGGGATAATCATGGGATATACTATGGTGAAAATTGGGATTATTAACCAATATTAACCAATATTAACCAATATTAACTAATATTCACCAATATTAACCAATATTAACCAATATTAACCCATATTCACCAATATTTCCCACATTTCTGGTGGTATTTTTTCCCATGGCACATTTAAGGCGCAGCTTCGAGGCGGCCGGCACTGAAGCTTCGCGCTGGCGCAACGTGGCCTGCTGTCGCGAGTTGTACCACCTGGCAGGTTCGGTCGGTTCGGGCGACTGGGAACGTGGCCTGGTTTAATGGGGGTACCCTCTGGTAATTTAACATAGCTATGGAAAGATCCACCAGGTTATGACTAACATAGCCATGTACCATCTGGTTATGACTAACATAGCCACGGAAAATCCCAACCATAAATGGAGGTATTAATGGGAAAATCCACTATAAATGGCCATTTTAAATAGCTATGTTAAATTACCAGAGGGTACACCGGGTAAGTCATGGTGAATCCTAAAAAAAGTCACGGCTTGGGGTTTCACGGGTTTCACGATTCTGACTTGGAGTAATTTTCTGACTTGGATGATGAAAATGGGTACCAGCCATAAAATGGGGCACCTTCACATGGAGATCCCTGCGTTTTCCGGTTGAACAATGATCTCGAATTGGAGATAAATGGTGGATTTTCTATGTCAACAAAAATCTGGAGGGTAGAAACCAACCTAAAATGGGAATGCAGTGGACCAGCGGGGGTAGAACGGTAGAACGAAGAGATTTTTGCTGGAATACAATGGGAGAGTTCAGGTAATTAGGAAAAAAAAAATCCTTGTCAAATTTCCAATGCAATTTATCAAACTTTGCCCCAAAAACTGGTGATAACGGCTGTTGTGGGTTTTATTCTACCATTTCCTGTCGGAACTTCTGATGTATCAGATGGATGTGTAAACTTTCAATTCGCCAGCCAATTAAGTAATCTCTTGCCCTGAAGAATAAACAACCTGCAGATCATTCTGCTCTAGCGTCAGATTTGTTCATTTACCCTCTACAGGCATCTGACAAAGTCGTACCTGTTTTAGGAAAAAATCGTTGTGCCTTGGGGAAGTGTGTTTTGCAAAAGTCGTGCCTTTAGCAAGAACGCATAGGAACTCTGGAGTTTGGATATGTAACCTGTTTTCTTATGAGATCACGTAGCTGATCACTATCCAGGTTTTGGGTATGTTGATTAGTTATAGGTAAGATGGCGTTGAGCTGGTGATTTGATGATTTTGGATGTTCATCCCAGATTATCCTGTTTTTCCCGAATGCGTAGCGAAGGGTTTGTTCGCCTCGAGTGGCTCGTCGCGTCGTCGTTGGGTCGGCGTCGCGTCGTAGTGCTGGGAAGTGCTTTGTGCAAGCTTTGTAGTACAAAGTAGTACTGGGAAGTGCTTTGTGCAAGCTTTGTGGTACAAAGTAGTACTGGGAAGTGCTTTGTGCAAGCTTTGTAGTACGTAAAGTAGTACTGGGAAGTGCTTTGTGCAAGCTTTGTAGTACAAAGTAGTACTGGGAACGACTTTGTGCAAGCTTTGTCGTAAAAAGTAGTACTGGGAAGTGCTTTGTGCAAGCTTTGTAGTACAAAGTAGTACTGGAAAGTGCTTTGTGCAAGCTTTGTAGTACAAAGTAGTACTGGAACGTGCTTTGTGCAAGCTTTCTAGTACAAAGTAGTGCTGGGAAGTAGTTTGTGCAAACTTTGTAGTACAAAGTAGCACTGGGAAGTGCTTTGCGCAAGCATTGTAGTGCAAAGTAGTACTGGGAAGTGACCCAGAGAATAGAAAAATAATGATGCTGAATCCCAGCGTTGACATGCAGGTTGCACACGAAAATGACATTATAAGAGAGTAGAAAATCAATATTTTCATCCATCGCGTTCCATTGTGTTTCATTTGTTTTTCATGTCTAAAATGCATGGTTACACGTTTATTGAGGACAGCGTTCCATGCAGAAAAACATTTAGGCATGACTTAGGCATGACTTCTTGGATACAGCGTTTACAATGGTAAATGCCATTCAAAAACATGCTAGGCATGACTTAGGCGTGACATTGTCGCTTCCCTGTACTGTAGTCGTCTAAGATAGCTATGAAAATCACCAACTTTAATAGGTAAATCATCGAACCTTTCATGGGCCATGGTTTCGCCATGTAGAATTACCAGAAGGTAACCGGTAACCTTCAGCAAACCCACTATTAACCACCATGAACTACTATTAAGCATGATTCATCATACTTGCCAACCATTATTGACCATTATTGATACTATCAACCATATATATATAGGGCTCATATTGATACTATCAACCAGATATATTAACTATACTTACCACTATTAACCATTATTGATACATATATATATATATATTGGGCTCTGACTTTCTTAGGTTGATGATATGATAATTTTCCACCAGGCCTTGCCTCGGTGCACAAGAGCGAGAAGTTCCTGGTGCTTCTGGTGCCATGGAAACGGATGGAACCGTAAAAAACCCTTAAGGCGGTATATCATTATTAGCCACAACTGTAAGTTGTTACGTTGTTACTTAAACACTCTTTATATCTCTTTAATACAGTCATTATCATTTGTATCCCAGTTAATCATTAATTGATTATAGCTCCTGTAGCTAAGGCTGTATTTATATATCGTTTTTTTTTTTAAAAAATGAGGATTTTGAATAAGTGGTGTACCCCTTAAGACACGTGTGGTTTTCGGAGAGTGGGACCATCACTCCGGGGCCGGATCCTTGGGGTCCCAGCAATCTGGCAGGTGCGGGGTCACTCCAATGATCACAAAGCCATGCATTCGATTGTGGAAGACATTTTGGCGGAAGGCAGACGCGCAGTTGACTGACTTCCCTGCGGCCCTGTGAGAAGGGCCATGAGTAGAATATAGGTACGGGTCAAAACCCTGGTACCCTGGTGGACACCAAAATTGGTCGTGAATGGATGTTCATTTCCCCCAAATATGGTACTTCATAGGTTTTAATCACTCTTGATCCATTCCCACAAGAACGGATGTGAGTCCAGACATCTTGTTTTCATGTTTCAAAGCTGGAAAGGGAAACGTGATCCTTTGATCTCCTTTGGCAGAGGTGCATCGAACCTAAGTCGACCCTTCTTGGACTCCTTGGTGACTCAGTGCTTTGGTGCCAAGAACCAAGACACCGCCAAGATCATCCAGGTCTGAATGTTGAGCTACCCGCAACGGTGTCATCAAACATGGCGGGCCGCGGAGGTTTATTGCTGGGAAAGTCATCGAACAACAGATGTTACCGCAGGATTTATGTTTGATGTCAGGAAAAGGTCAGAGGGAGTCCCTGGAACCCCCCACATGAATCATGGTGGAACATGGTGAAACAACATGGTCTCCTGATGTTTTCGGTATTTTTTCCCCTGAAGCAATCCATCAAAGGATGTTATGTTTGGAGCCGAACTTGCCGGCCTCCTGGCATAATTGTCTTCTTTTCATCTAGAGGGCGGCAAATTGTTGCTGTATGAAAAAAAAACCAAGATTTCACCTCCATTTTCCGTTTGACTAAGGGCGCTGAGAGGTGCTGCAGAAGGGATAACGTTTTTGTTGACGGCCAGGAGCATGAGAACTCGATGGGCATGGACACGAATCGCCAGGCGCTCGAAGTCTCTGGGAAATTATGGGTTGGCTCAGACCAGCCCCAGCATGTTATTTGTTGCAGGTTCATGACCAATCCCCAATGACCTATTCCACTCTTTTGGTGCCATCACCCCGCGATTTCCCAACATATTATATCATATCAGGAGTGCAGACAAGTTGCAGAAATTGATTTGGCCGATTTTTTTTCCTCTACTACATTGAGTACCGTAGCAGTTGCAGGTCCGACCCCACCAGATCCTGTTTCCGCGTCGCAGGCGCGAATCATCAGCAGCTTCGGAAAGGCTGGTCGGGAAGCCATCCTGGTTGATCCCTGCCTCTGAATCCATCCGAATTTGACAGGGTACCCTCCAACAAAATCGGGTTTAAAGCAGTCCACGGGGAATAACCTGGCATGCTCCCTGCTGGGAAGTGAAATCCTCAATCATGGATGTTTTTCTATCATCCCAGCGCAGATTGAGTATGGGATATGACAGAATCTATCGCAAAAAATACGCGGGATTGTAAGATGGTGATGGATCAAAACCTATGAATTTTCCCAATTTTTTGGGATGAAGATCCATGAATCACCAGCAAATTCCATGGGTTTTGAGCCAGGAAGGGAACCTGGATGCTGCCGTCTCAGCCTTTCAAAAATGGAAAGATTCGGGCGCGGCCCCCACGGTTGTTGCGCCCTGGTAGCGATGGTCATGCCATCTTCAAGCTTTGCAAAAAAAAACTCTGACTGGCAAAATATTTAGTGGTGTAGCCTGCCACTTTTTTGGACCTGGCATCGATATGGATGAGCATGACTCAGTATGAAATAATATGAGGCTGTTGGCTACCAGAGCTGGAAATCCTGGTAAAAATCTGGTAAATCTTGTTAATTAATGTTAATTACCCATAGTCACCATGTCACCAGACTCTGCCTTTCTGATCCTTTTTGTCTAAGGTCTACAACTGCCTGCTCGACGCCTGCATTGAGTGCAAAGCTCTGCCCAGGGCCCTGAAGATCTTTGAGGAAATGAAGGAGCAATCCCTGGCAGATGTTGTCAGCTACAACACCATCATGAAAGGCCTGGCAACACCAACATGCCCTGTTTCGAGGTCACTAGATGAAGGATGCCACAAACTTCGAGCTTGTCCAGATCTTTGGTAATTTCCAGTATGCATCATTCGACATTGGTGATAAAAACATATAAAAACCAATAACACCGCTGAAGCATGCTAAAGTTAAAGCTTCTTTTTGTCACCAGTTTGCTCGTGACATCTCCTTTTTGGCTCGTTTTGTATGTCAAATTCAATTATGTTCACATTTTCTTCCTGTTGGCTCTCTAAAACCCAACACCAACTTGGTTTTCGCACTCTTTTGGTACCTTTTGGCTGGCTGAAAGTGTTGGATTTTGATTTTCATATTTTTTTGCTTTTTCCAAACGCATATCCTTCAAACATCAGGGTTATTTCAGTTCGCTAGACAAGCATCCACCAAACACTTGGCCATTAAAATATTAAAACCATCCAACCAACAATTGGATGTTCTGTTTTGTTGTCCTCCCAGATGTCATGACCCCCAAAATCACAATGACCAAACATTTGCAACAATTGGCAAAAACAATCAATCTTCACGGTGTTTCTGACGTATTTGGCAAAGCAAAAAGTACACATTCTGGATGTTTACCCTCTGGTAAACATACCATTTTCAATGGGAAATTCCACTATAAATGGTCATTTTCAATAGCTTTTTGTTAGCTATTATCAGAGGGTTTCTGTTTTTTCCACCTCCAGATGTCACCTTTCCGTCCCTCACCGTGGTTTTTCATGCCGGCGCCGGGGAGGTCACTTGATGAGCCACGACACCGGCTCTGCGGAGCAGGTCTTCATGCAGATGCACCAAGCGGGTTTGACCGCCAGCCGAGTACCCTGGCAGAAATGGTGAGATTTCTGCAGGAAATGTGTATCCATTGATACTGATGATGATTTATATAACAATATGATACAATATGTATGTATATATAATTATATACACATCATAATATGCATATATATATATACATATGTATATTGTATATATAATTATATCGATATTATTTGTGTTCACTGAAATCAATTATATCCATTTGTCAGTCTTGTGTGCGTGCGTCCCTGACAACCCCCACAAACTTGGAAGATTATCTTCGCGGCCCTAGCGTAGCACAAGATGAGAAAGGGGTCATGGGCCGCTAGCACACAAGAAATTGGTTCGTAAACATAGATTGTCCTAACTGGGACTATGTCAAAGTCGGCAGGGTTGTGTACCACTTTTATTATTTATCACTCGTTTATACCAGTTTGCTGGTACTAGGAATCTACAATTTAATGCCAGTAGACCGGTTCCACACCAGTTACAACTCATTTTGATACCAATATTCAACCCTAAACCCATTCCACTAAAATTAGATGTTGCCCAAGAAACCCTGGTTTAGTACTGGATCTATTCATGAACCGGGGGCCCATATGATATGGTGGGTCTTTATTTAATATCAGAGGCATCGGATTTCTCATAGATATCATACTGAATGGTCTGTTTATCGTAGTATATCACCATCCATATGTAGTAAGTAGTAATTGCTATGCCATCCGATCCAATTATGGACACACATTAACACACTATTCTTGCTTAGTTGTATACAATAAATGAGTACCAATTTGTGATCAAAAGCCACATTTTTCCAACACAATCCCGTTGTTTTTGAGGAAAATCCTGTCAGGTGACCTATCACGGCCTGCTCAACGCCATGGTGAGCAAAGGTGATCGCACCGGCGCGTGGCGAATTGTGACCGAGATGAAGAGTCCGAGCCCTGGGGGAGATGGGAAGCCTTCCGCGATGGAAAAGCCCATGGGCTTCGGAGAGGGTCGCGGCGATTCTAGATATATCTAGACATAAAATGCTGGATTTTTAATGATATATCTAGAATCATAAAAATGATATAAATGACTGGATTTTCAATGATTTTCACGACTTTTCTATAGATATCTGATGATATCTGAATGTAAATGAAGAGTAGTGTAGTCCACAACAACAGCCATGGGACAATAACGAGGTGTTTAGGGATGAATAATGACTGGATGTCTTGTGACGCAGGATTGAACCAATGGATCATAAACCTGTAAAGTAGTAACTAAAGCTGGGCGGGGGTCACAGATGATGTCAACCTCAGCATGATTAATCCTAGTGGACAAGATGGTTGTAATGCAAAAATCTGGGGTTGGTAGGGATTCGCCTTTCTATCTACTTGAGGATCTCTATGATATTCATATCAACATCATATTCTATTATCAAGATTTAATTAGTACGAACATCAATACCAACTGAATTATTTTACCCTTCCTCCAACTCACATAGACGCTGCGATTCATGAGGATTGGAAGGTTACTTCCCTCTAATTTGGGCTTTTCAGGGTCTATGTTTGTTGGGGACGGTCAATTCCCACAATGAAACTTGTGGTGATATCTCAAGACTATCCATCAAGTATTTCGGAGAATATGAGTACGATGATAGTCATCATAGTCATCACATGTGCCATGGTCGTTTTTTTGAACACATGATTTCTTGTCCGACACAGGACATGTTCATTTCCCGCTTTTGAACACAGGTTGGTGGCTTGACGCTTTGATGGGATCCGAGTCATTCTGAGATGACCCACCACACTGAAAAAGATTGTTGGTTGTATAATGTTGTGTACCCATTCTATATCCCACCGTTGATGAACTCCTGACATTCCATTGAATTCATGAACCATATACTGTAACTATCTGTAACTTGACCATGATTCACCGATTTTCGTTGCTCTGAAAAATCGGGCACCAAGAAAAATCACATGGTTTTCATCGTATTTCATCGTCAGTGCCGGTGATCCATCCAGCATCACGCTGCAGGTCAAGGTATCGGCGCCAGCAGCATCACCTGTAGCATCCTCTTGATGCTTGGCACGGCAACCTTTTTTATCGAGGGAACCCAATCAGATTCATTTTTTGTGTTTTCGTTTTTTTTGCCCAAGGGCGTAAATTTGTTTGTGTTAGCAACTTGTTTTGTTTAGATAACTAGATGTAGATAGCTAGATGATGCTAGATGTATCGTCTTATTATTATTACATGTTTTGGCGATCGGATGTCCAACTTGGGTGAAGCTGACGGCTCGATTGGAGGGCGGTTGAGAAATTGGCTAGACCTGCAAATCCATGTCTCACTCTTGAACATGTTTCAAGCCCCGTTTTGGGTATATACGGTATATATGTATGTTCTCTTACTTGTTGGGTTTCAATCTCTGGGTCTTGGAATGGTGCTGCCTGTTGGATTGCCCATTGATCCAAGAATCCAAGGAAAAGCATCACTGGTCGCTCGCAGGGCGCTGAACTCTCAACGATTTTGTCACTACTGGAGGAGTTTTTGGATGCCGACCTGAAAAAAGATCCCCAATTTGGGCAGTTCCTAATGAAGCCCCAAATCATCTGGGGTGCAGAAGTTGAAGTCATAGCCATTTCAATATATTTCAATGCCATTCGGTCACTTTCATTTAAGGATGATTGAAGGGAAAATCGAAATCGGAAACCATGGGGCCATGGGGTTTCCCATTCAAAATAGGGGGTCCCGCCATTTTTTCCTGCCATCCAGATCATCCAGTCAGGAGTCTGACATACAGATGGACGAGGCACGCGACATGTGGTGGATACGAACCATCGACACATGTGTACTAAGAAAAACTAGGTACCTTTTGGGAATCTAACCTATGGAAAATCATGACTTTTAGTAGGTAAATTGTCTATCAATGGGCAATTTTTATCCATTTTCCGGATGTCATTGTACCAGAGGGTATGTCAAGAGAAGGAGGACTCTGTTTGGACGAGCAAAAGACACCTGGCTGTCAGGTGTTGTTCGGAGGCTTTGCAGACGCCTGCATCCGATCCGGAAATCTCAAGATCTTGTGGAAGCAATACCAACAGCTCTTGAAAACAGGACAGCCTGTGCAGGTGCCATCGGGGCAGACTTTTGGGAGCTTCAATTTTTTGTCCAAAGACTTCAAAGCCATAGCAAGGATGAAGGCCATTGGCACTGCAAAACTTGTTCAGAGATCCAACCATTTGGTGCTACCCCAAACAGATTAAGAACCAACCAGCAACTTTCGTTCTCGAACCACCATGTGCAAGATGTGTGTTCTCAGAGGCCGACCATCTCAATTCTCAGTGAATTCTCAGTGGTTCCATGTTTAGTGCAGGTCTCTGGCCCCACCTATGGCAATATGATCAAGGCCTTCGGTCAAGTGCAAGACGTTCAGAGCGTCCCGCGGTGGCGAGACGTTCCATCATAGGGTTGTGGCTCAACCAACCATTTCCGGCGATTTTTTTTTTGATAGAATGATATAGAATGGGGACTTATACAAACGTTTTTTTTTTTTAATGGATATGATGGGATGTAGCACTTTTTCAGTATGCAAGTCATGGGTTTGTCCAAAAAATTGATGGCACACCTGAATTGATGGCAATTTTCCTGAGGAATCTCCGGATGATTTTGATGGATTTTGATGGATGAGTTCCCCATTTCTTGGACACCCCAGACCCCGAAAAGCCAATGGTATTTCTACATTTCTGACCATATCTTCATTTTGCTGTTGGTCACACGATATATATATATATACATACATATATACATATATACATATATACATATATACATATATACATATATACATATATACATATACACATATATACATATATACATATATACATATACATATATACTGTATGTATATATATATATATGTATATATTCACTCCCATCACTTGACAGTGACATTTGTGAGTGGCTGCAGCTTTTTGGGGTCAATACATGAGCCTAGGGTTTCTAGTACCAGAGGTTCTCCGCGAGTTACGCTTCTGGGGACAATCGTCGGTGTGTCCCTGGGGTGCCATTGGACTGGGAGCTGTGATCCTCAGCTGTTGCTGTTTGGGGGTCGGATTTGTTTGCGCTGCTCTGGTGTTTTCGGCTCAGTGCCGCAGACTGGTGGCCTATCTGGCAAGGGGCTTAGCTTTGAGCCTCAGTCCAGGTCCTGCGGTAGGCCCTGACCTCCAGCTGCAACGCCGATTGTCCGAGTACCACCGATCCAGTTGATGAGCGGTGGACCCGCTACTGATCCAGTTGAGTCATTAACTGTTCATTTGGGTCAGCTCGAGATCACTATCTCAGTGCGCCCTCGCGCGAACGGATCTGCAAGTGAGTCCGGGGAACCCATTGCAAGCCCTTCAGCTGGCACTAGTGGAAATCCAGCTCCGAACGGGGCGTCTTGGGAACGGTTGGACCGGCCCTCTTTCTCCAGTGATTTTGTTGAAAGGATTTTGAGAGCTCAGACTGCCAGGGATTTGATTGCTTTTACGGTTCCACAGATTGATCATTTGTTGCCTCGGCTCAGAGCCAGTGATCGGGATTGGTCCCCGAAAGCCCGTCTTGTCCGAGCCTTCCGTGCTGGATTGCTGGCACGTTTTCGCCTTGACGGCGAGTATCGGTGTGAGGACAGTCCGGGGATTCCGTGGCGAAACACTTATTACGTTGTGTTGAGGGGCCGAAACAACAGTGCTGGATTTTGGACCAACAACTACAATTTGTATCATTCCAGTGTTTTTGAGACTCGATCCGGCTCGACCAATTTCGAGCGCACCACTGTCTCCCACGCATTTCCCAGTCTGGCTGAGTTAGAAGCTTATATTCTGGGTGCTCAGGTGGCATGGCCGCCCGAGGTGCAGCAGTGAGACTCGATCAAAGGACTCTGCAAGATTTAGCTAACAAAAGTGCATCCGAGAAGTTTTTAAGTCCGGTGCATTTTCTGCTGGTTGAACCTAGTTCAGGAGTCAGTGCAACCTTAGCAGTATGCCACGTTGTCTACGTCAGACCGGGTGGGTTCATGCTAGCAATCCCAAATTCAATAGACCTTCAAGACGCTCTACGCGCTTTGGAGTCCACAGCCAACGCTCATGCAGCCTTTCATGCTGGCCAAGTCGAAGTACTGACCCAGCGTGGGACGTCTCTGGGAGTGGGAGATATCATTTTGGTCGATTTGCCCTGGGAGAGTGCAGAGGATTTTGTCAAACCAGTCAAGATTGGGTCAGGTCAGTTCAGAGATGCGGAGCTTTTGCAGGTCACTGTCAATGGTTCTCCGGGTCGTCCCTCCAAAGAACAAACTCAGCAGTTAGCAGACGCTTGGATTGGAGGCGAAGACATGGACGAGGACACAGCCCAAGAGTATTTGACTGGCGAAGATTTGGGTCCAGACGAATCTTTTGGTGCCGCTGGCGGTCAAGGTACCGGTATCGCAGAAGGGTCAGATGGGGGTTCGGCAGAGAAACGTGCACTGTTGGCTCGCATAGCAGCTCTGGAAAGCCAGTTGCAAGATCGTTCAACAGTCCCTGCTATTTCTCCAGTTCCGAAGCCTCTGACAGCTGCAGGTGCCAGCAAGGCGCCTATGTTGTTTGGTGCTCAGCCTGCAGTTCTAGACGATCAGCAGTGGGGTCGGCTCCAGCGCTTGGCGGGGGCCCCACCTCCTCGAGCTGGCCAGGTCGAACAACGTCGCTTGGCGGTTGGTCCAGCCACCACCTACCGCGACAATGCTCTACTTGGACTGGAACGCGAAGCAGAAGAGGATCAGCAGCTGGACGCCCTAGCTCCTCCACTGGCAGCATCCAGTCAGGACCCGCTGCACCAGATCCTGGCCGCTCAGCTTCAGCAGAATCAACTTTTGCTTCAGCGGATGGCGCCCCGCCATTCAGACCCAGTGCTGGGGGCGCTCGCCGGCTCGGACAACGGGTCCGGCAGTGGAGGAAATGTCAAAGGATGCCTTGCGAGGGAGACATTTCAAAGGACCATTCAGGACCTTCCTCGAGTGGCCAACCATGCCAGACTGAACGCTCTGCGAGAGCTGGGGATCAGCCCAGAGAAGGAGGATGCCTCACTCATGAGGAAATATGTGGAGAGGCGCATTCCCCTAGCAGAGTTCAAGCTCCTAGCTTTGGTGGCAACTATGCTGGCAGAGAGCTGGGCAGTCGGTTACGAAACCGGCGACATGGTTCTCCTAGGAACCGTGGCCCGGATGCTTTTCTTTGTGGAGCAGGCGGCAATAGACTCTGGCAAGACTCAATTAGCATGGCTTTTGACGGGCTACAGCGAACCGTCCCTTCATATGATGGTGTCTTCGAAGAAGCGACCAGGTCTGGAACCATTCGCGCGTCTGTGCCCTCCGGCATGGATCAGCGCAAATTTGTCCTATCTGAAGGACTTGGACTTCATGGAAACCCGACTGCAATCGCTCGAGAAGGGCCCGAAGAATCCCAAGGCCAATGCAGCCGACGACAAAGAGAACCCTCAGCCAAAGAGACCAAATCCCAAGCCGAAGGGCAAGGGAAAGGGAAAGTCCACTCCAGAAGCTCCTGCTGCCGACGCAGCTGCGGTGTGAGAGGCAAGGATCCACCTGGGTTCATTGAGGGTTTCTTCCAAGAAGATAATGCCCCCATTAGTCCTCCCGATAACCACATGGAGCCCCAATATCATCCCCCATGTAGTCCCTTTAACTCCAACTCGGTTGGCTTGGATGGTAAACCTGATGTTCCAAGCTGTTCCTTTAGTCCCAACGTTGCTAAAAGCCGTTTTGATCCCATTGAGCTTCTGCAAGTTTTGATTAGTGATTTTTGGTCTTGTCACACTGGCCTGACCTATTTTGCTAAGGCTAGCCTGACTAGCAACACCTGCACTGCGCATGGCACTCAACCCAGTGCCTTATGGCCGGTTCCCCCCTTCAGGTGGCGATGGACCGGAAATGGTAGACCCAATCCCAGGCGGCGCATCCGCCTTAAGCGCCTTCGATTGCTTGCTGAGTTAGTTCATGAACATCATGATTTGCACGTTAAACTGGGAGACCCTAGGACAGGCCAAACGGCCTCCTGTACATGCATGTATTGGTTCCCATATCACGCCACAGCAGCATTTGATCATAGAGCGCTTAGAATCCTTCCTTTTGCACACTTTTAACATGGCCCCCTTTGAGGGCGGTGAGCTAGGGCGTGCAGCAGGCAAATTTCAGAGTTTAATTAACTCTTTGAAGGAACTCCCCAATACCAGCTTGGAGTCGCAGGACCTCTTAGAATTGTTGACTGACATGCACAACAGTTTTGACCCATACAGCTCGCATTTTGCGAATGAGAAAACGCAGCCATCTCGCAGCCCAGCTCACCCGAGTGAGCCAGATATCGGTGAAAGCACTGTTACAGTGAACTTGCCTAGTGCCAAACCGGTGATTGCATCGCGTGTTAAATGGAAAAACCCTCCGTCGTTCGAAGCGGCGGATTACCTGGACCCCCTTGTGAAAGAAGCTTTCCTTGATCCTGAGGTCCTAAGGAACCCAATTTCCATGTGGCCCCCTGCCAAACCCGCAAAGATGCATATCACAAAATCGGAGATGTTGAAAATGATTTCGGTTTGGGATGCTTTAGGTGCCTGTTCCATTTGCCCCTTGTCCGAAAAGGACTATACCGAAGCAGTTGGGATTTTTGCCGTTGATAAGGATTTGGATTATGATAGGCTGATAATAAATCCTAAGACCATCAACAGCCGTATGAGCAGCATTTCATACTCTACCAAAGAGTTAGCACCTGGGTCCATGTTGACTTTGTTGCACTTGAAACCGGGAGAGATGTTTAGATTTAATGCTGACGACCTATCTGACTATTACTACTGCTTCAAGGTCAGTCCCGCTCGAGCACGTAGGAATGCATTTCGGATGGTTTTTGACTCAACTGAACTTTCCCATCTTTCTTGTTTCCACCCCAGTTTCCATGGTAAGAAACTACTAATCTGCCTGGCTACCCTTGCTATGGGGGATTCACTTGCAGTTGAAATTGCCCAACAAGCCCATGCTAATGTTCTTAAAGTTTGGTGCGGTGCTATGATCCCCGACGAATGCCTTCGGTACCGTTCACCCATCCCACGATCAGACTTCATAGAACTCCTTGCCATTGATGACCATGTTGGTATCCAGCGATTGAGCATCCGAGATTTCCCGAAGACCCCCAAACTTAGGGACAGCGAAGTGTTTGATCTTGCTGGCAGGGCTTATTCAGCAGTAGGGTTGATTCAGCATGAGCAGAAACGCAAGAGAAACCAGGTTGAAGGGACCATACTGGGAGCAGATTTTGATGGGTTGAAAGGACGGGTGATGGCCCCCAGAGGACGTGTTATCCTGTTATGTGCAATTTCCTTACAGATCGTGAAACGAGGGTCTTGTACAAGGCGTTTGCTCTCAGTCCTCTTAGGGTGTTGGATCCATGTCATTTTGTTCCGAAGGGTTGTTTTCAGTGTGATTGATCAACTTTTTCGGGAGGGGCAAGACCTTCCAATGGACCGCGTTTTTGTTCTGAGTCCGCAAGCTCGATGTGAATTGCAGATCTTAGCCGTTTTGGGTCCAGTTTGCCAAAGTGACATTCGTGCCAAGCATTCAACAAGAATCTTTTCAACAGATGCAAGTCCTTCAGGAGGGGCAGTTATCGCAGCAGACATAGGTTCAACAGCATCCGGCGAAATCTGGAGGCACTGTGAACAGCGGGGGTTTTACACCCGACTCCAATCTCCTGTTAGTGAAATTCTGCAAGAGAAGGGGTATGAACCTTGTTCGAATGAAGCCTTCATTTCAGCAGCGTCTGTTCCTACTCCGGCAGTCATGCATGTTCCAGCTCCAATGACTGAGGGCATTTTGTATGATTGCATTGAAATTTTCAGGGGAACGGGAAACTGGTCTGAAGCACACAGTCAGCATGGCTTCCGTGTGCACGATGGGATCGACATCAGCGGTCGGCGTTTGCGATTTACTGATATGGCTGATCCAAGCACTTTTCATGAACTGAAAGCCCTTGCCTTGCGTCGTGTGTGCCTCGACTGGCATGCCGGTGTTCCTTGTGTCGGTTTTGGCACTCTTAGGCGACCCCAAGTTAGGAGTAAACAATATCCAGCAGGATTCAACATGAGCGATCCTTTCACAGCATTCCACAACATGCTTGCTCGTAGGACAGCCTTTTTGCTCACCCTGGTGCTACTGTCAGGTCACTTCGTGAGCGTGGAGCAACCAGGAAGCAGTCGCATGTTCTTGCTGCATTGTTTTCGAGTCATGGTGTTGCTTGGATGTACAATTAGCCATTTCTGTTTTTGCAACTTTGGCACTCCTTTCATGAAGCCGTCCAAGTGGCTTCACAACAAGCCATGGCTTCTTTCTATGGAAGGGCCCTGTAATTGTGGCAAAAAGGGTAAGCATTTCATTGTTCAGGGTTCTTTCACCAACAAAAGTATTAAAGACTTCCGCAGCCTGTGCCGTCCCTCATGTGAATCAGTTTTCGGTAAAACTCCCAGGGTAGGTCAACCAGTGTCCCAATTCTCCGGTGCATATCCCAAAAGGTTGGTTGAACACATGGCCTCGGGCCTCTCGCTGGCTTTGAAGGGTTCAGCTGGGAGCATCCCACTGCAACATCGCCTTGCTAGTTTGCGCGAGGTTGGATTTTCAGATGAGGATCTTGTGCCTAGTCATAATACAGAGCCGCCTTTTGCCAATCGTGCATGGTTTGAAGGACCCGAATGGATCACAGAGCTCTGTGATTGCCTGCCATTTAAGGAGCTTTTCCGTTATAGATTTAAACGATCGGGACATATCAATGTGAATGAAATGCGGACTTATAAGTCTTTTCTTAAGTCTTGTGCAAAGAGTGAAGCCGATTCCAGGGTAGTTGCGTTATTAGATTCTAGGGTCACCATCGGAGCAGCAGCCAAGGGGCGGTCGTCTTCAGCAGCGCTTAGCCGTGTGCTGCGCAGTTCACTGGCGTACATTCTGGGAGCGAACCTGTATCCTGGATTGTTGCATTGTGCTTCAGAAGTCAACCGTACAGATGGACCTTCAAGAGACAAGCCTGTCGCGCCTCCGACCAAGGATGAACCATCCTGGCTGACTGACTTAAAGATGGGAAAAACCCGAAAGTTCGATGCAGTGGTTGAATCCAGCCGCATACCCAAAAATCCTGCTCGATGGCTCAGATTTTTGCTGATGTTGTGTGGGGACATTGAGCCCAACCCAGGGCCCCGCCGTGGGCCAATGAATTTACAGATTGGTTTTGTGAAAGCCACCTCAACTCGGATGGCAAAGTGTTTTGAAGCTTTTCAGACATGGTGTTCTGAGCGACTGGAGATCGATTCCATTGTTGTTTGTTCAGACATGCAAGTTTTGGCCTGGGCTTTGCGAGCCTACGGGATGTATTTGTTTGAGGCCGGGCTACCACGGTACCTCCTGGTTTATGCAATAACTGCTTCTCAGGACTTATTTCCGGCTTGCAAGCCCTGGTTGAATTTAGCATGGCAAATAGACCGAAAGTGGCAACTCCATGAACCTGGCAGCTGCCGGGCGGTTCTTCCTGCTGTCATCGTAAAAGCGATGGCTTGCCTCGCTGGCTTGTGGAACTGGAAGTGCTGGACAGGCGTTTTTCTTTTGGGCTTTGCTGGGATGCTTTATCCTAGTGAGATGCTGGCATTGACTCGGAAGGATTTAGTTTTTCCTCGTGATCTGAACTATGACCAGCCCGCTCTCTACCTGAGAGTTCGTGATCCCAAGACTGCCCGCTTTGCGAGGCGGCAGCACAGTCGAGTGGATGATGCAGGCATCATCAGCATTGCAGAGTCAGCGTTTGGCAGCCTTCCCTTGTCTGAAAAATTGTACCCTGGCTCCATCAATACTTTTCGTAGACAGTGGAATTGTATCATGGACGCACTTGGAATCCCTTGTAAGCAGCGAGACAATGGTGCGACGCCTGGAGTCCTTAGAGGTTCTGGGGCCACATATTTCTACACCTCGACAGAGGACCTTTCCTGGGTTGCTTGGCGGGGCCGTTGGTCCCGAGTCAAAACACTTGAATTTTATCTTCAAGAGGTTGGTTCACATATGCTTATTCATGAATTGGACAATTGGGCGAAAGCAAAAATCTTTCCTTTAGCAGATGCTGCTCCAGCAGTCCTCTGGCGTGTCTTTGACCTTGCAGTGCAGTAGGCTAGGATTGGAAAGTTGATTTCTATACGTTTGAACTGCAGCATCTTGTTGTGGGACCTACATCAATGAAGTCGACTTCTTTTCTCAGGCCTTTGATCATAGCTGGAAAACCCAGCTCATTTGCCAGAGACTGCTGGGCAACTTCGAACAAGCAGGTGGAAAAGTGATTCACTCCCATCACTTGACAGTGACATTTGTGAGTGGCTGCAGCTTTTTGGGGCCCATGCCTCTCCCGCCCTTGTGGCAACGAAAGTTGATTTCTATACGTTTGAACTGCAGCATCTTGTTGTGGGACCTACATCAATGAAGTCGACTTCTTTTCTCAGGCCTTTGATTATAGCTGGAAAACCCAGCTCATTTGCCAGAGACTGCTGGGCAACTTCGAACAAGCAGGTGGAAAAGTGATATATATATATATATTATGCATAGTTATGCCTCATTATTCCCCCACTTGTTGGTCATATCCAGGCATATTCGCCTAATTTGGAACACAGCCTTCACACGTATGAACAGCGTTGAACTTGTTCTGACATGATTTCAGGAAATTGCATGAATTTGCACTATTACCCCGCAACAGAATACTTTTTTGTTTCTGGATAGCTAAGATGCTCGCTAATATAATACCCAGTACCCGAAAATGAATGTATATATATATGATGTACATACATACAAATTATATATATATATATGTGTACATGGGTACTTCCCATATTGTAATTAAATCATATTTAATCCCAATAAATCACTAGGAGGCACCACTTTGTTGGTTGAACCTTCCAAGGAATCACCTTCGAAATCCCAAGGTTCAGCAGCTCTGGAAGCACATGTGCGAGCAACACGTGAAGCTCACAGCAGTCACCTTGGGTTGCATGGTGGAGGCAAGAGGTTTACCCTCGGGTCGAAGTGGCTTGGGAAGTGGGAAGAGGACATCCTGAAGCAAAAAGAATGGACATCAATGGTGATTTAACGGGATTTAATAGGATTTAAGCCATCACAATGGGGATTTAATGGGACATTCACCTCAAATCTTCGTTTCTCAAGCTTGGAATGATTGGACAGTTACATAAATTGACCCTGAAATCTTGGGTTTGGAAATTGAATTGCGAACTATCGGGGAAGTCGACTTGCCAGAGCCGCATCAAAAGTGGGCCAGAATCACTGGGCAATCGCTTCATCCACAACTGATACTCGTACTGCCAAAATTCACTTGCGGATGGTCGAAACTGCATGTGCCCTTAACCTTGCAGCAATTCAATGATTTCAATGTATGTCACTTCACCTCTAAATATTTTTGTCGAGTCTGCTCAGTGAGAATTGGAGATACCAGGTTGCAGTGACTCGCATCCATGCGACACTGGCAATCACAAAGTTCACAAACTTGAAACCAATTGAAACAGTTAAGCATCCTGTGATGGGAGGAAACCAATTGAAACAGGCATTTGTTGTGAGAAAACCCTTGTAGAAACAACATTGCTTCCGGGACACCCACTTCGTTTTCACGATGAATATGACGGGGAGATCATGCGTCAATATCCTCACTTGTCGATCTTTAGTGTTCCAGCACAAAACCAAGTACCAGAACGTGCAGGCCAGCCGCCTACTTGGATGTGAATTCCATGTTGAAAAATGTAATATTATTTTAGCAACCCCCAGAAAAGATAGAAAAATCAACCACATTCAAACACATATTTTAGCAACATGCAACTGTTCTATTTTTTTTTTGTCCGTTGCTAGAAATATCTCAGTAAGTGGAACAAACCCCTGGTTGTGAGGACTAGTTGTTGGAAGCCAGGCTTTGGTGAGCAACAACCATGTCTCAGAGGCTTGGAAAATCGTTGGAAGCTTAGGGCGCTGCCCCTGGCAGCATCGATTATTGCTTTATAGGGGTTAAAAAATACCTACCCGGTCTATTGGGGAGTGTCGTAGCCCACAGGCATGCCATGCCTATCAACCAATGGATAGGATAGGGGTATTTTGTCATGGTTCAATCCACTGACAACGGGCCCCCCAGCGTTCTCGCAGCAAATGCTTGAAGCTTGATTTCATTGATTGCCATTGATGAGAAGCAGATGTAAACTCATGTGTCAACCATTAATTATCAACCCAAGTGACTGACATTTTGGGATGGCTTGCAACCAGCTTCCAGGTTGTTGGGCCCCTGCTCAGGTCAACGATGCATGGTCCAGTGAGGATCAGAGAGTGGGTCTCCCCAGTTGAGGTGGTAAACCCTACCCTCTGGTAATTTAACATAGCTATTGAAAATGGCCATAGAAATAGTGGATTTACCCAGCTAGAAAATGGTGATTTTCAATAGCTATGTTAAATTACCAGGGGGTATGCCATGAACCATCTATTTGGGATGGTCCATGCTACCCATTTCTGGAAAGTCAGACTGGGGATATCTGGGGATGCTTCATGGTTTTGGGATGTTTTGGGTAATTGTCGCATGGATATGGGTTGTTAAAGTTTGTTACGTGACATTTGCATGGTTGTACTATCAATTCCTGCCTAGATGAGTTGGAATATGGACACTGTCTCATGGTCCCGAATATCTTGGAGGCAGGTCATATCTTTGTCAAAACCATCCATGATTTGTTCAGTGGGACAAGCAAACTCTTACACGAATCACAGGTGCTAGGCGAGTCCAGCTTCGCCCTTCGTAATGTTCAAGCCCTTGAAGGTACAGCTCTTTCATAAACTCTAGCTGGTAGTTGGTTCCAAATACCCTCTGGTAATTTAACATAGCTATTGAAAATGACCATTTATAGTGGATTTTCCCATTGAAAATGGTGATTTTCCATAGTTATGTAAACGTTTACCAGAGGGTACTGATTCCTTTTGAATTGTTACTTGATCATTGGGACTCCAATGGATGTTGGCATACAACTTGTGGGAAAACCTGGCGACTCGACCACCAACCAGGTATGCCAGCGGTGATCCGCACAAAAATAGAGAAGTCAATCAGTTTAATCAGCATCAAAGAAAGTAGGGCACACTTTTTCCACCTTTTTTTTTCTGGGGGGACCTTCAGGTTCATTTTTTTTTTACTGTCCGTTTTTTCCACAATGATTCCAACTGAAGTAATATCGATGGCCGCATGAATTCGTCCGACTCCACAGAGGAACTGCTGAACACCGTGATCTACTCCACCATCGTCAAGGGCTTCACTATGTCTCGCCAGCACGACCAGGCTAGCCGGCTACCCTTTGGGGGGAATAGGTCTTGTATCTTAAAAATCTTAAAATGGGGATTGAATGGACTAATTATATATGGAAATGGGGAAATGGGGATCCAAAGGGTATATGTATGATGTGGGTTCGTCCAAAACCGGGGGATTCGCAGCCAGTTTTACGAAAGACAAGTTTCATCGGGAAAATCCATGGATGACGCATGGGATGGAATAGTGTTCCAGATTTTGAGACAACCAATGCGATACAGAATATACAGTAGGCATGCAATCAATGAACACACTGATAAAGCAATCTTGGTATTGACATCAACTTGGACCATCCGCAAAAGGAAATTTCTACCCAAGAGTTGGACTTGGAATCTTGGACAATTGAATCTTCTAAATTCATAATCTTAAACTATTGAAATCTATTGAACATCCACAAAACTACTTGATATTCCAGTTGGATACTCCATCTATTGGAAAAGCATCGTTGATTCCTGGATCATTGGATCTGAACAGCAGGTGATCGCCGTTTTCAAGGAGATGAAGGACGGGTTTTTTGCACTAGCTTCTGGGAGTTCAGTAGAACTGTGGAAAATTCACATTTTTTGGGTACATCAACTATAAAATGGTCATTGTATGAAATTATATGCCATTACCCATAGGATCCATGTATGCTATATATGGCAACATTTACCATCAATATACCCCCAATGTTAGCATATATACCATACATGGATCCTATGGGTTATCAACTATTATCAATAGCTACGTTACAGCAGCCAGCAAGCCACGAAAACCAGGTGGCCACTTCTTTGCAGCCCATGACTTCCTACGCAGGAGCGTGGTATTGCGTGCAACACCGTCACCTACAACACAATGTTGAACGGACTCGCACGCGCCTGCCCTGGTTGAAGGTTACCAAGTTAAGTAGACACCCATTTGTGCCACTCATTGGAGGCTGAAGAAACGGATTTTTCAAGATCCTTTATTCCAATGTATGTATCTAAAGTGGTCATGTGCATAATCCCAGTTGATGGGACCAGTTGAATCGCCATTTCCGCAGAATTCCGCAGAGGTTGTGGAATGATGCACGAGGTGCCAGAACTACTGAAGGCCGTGTTTTTTTTTTAGGGCGGAGGATTCTGAGGATTCTTGAGTAGTGAAAAAAACAACTGGCATTAGTGAAATTTAACGATTTATACCTAACCCAATATTACACCCTGGGTTAGTGACATTAACTCTTCATGGAATGTCATTAATATTATATAATTATTCAGTATCTTATAATATATTATATATACATCGTTCTGGGTAAATGATTAAATTCAGGTTAGTGAAATATCATCATTTACCCAGACCAGAAACATCCAGCTTCTTTTTTCCCTCACATATCCGTAGTCGCCGTAGTCATTTTTTGAAGACCGTAAAGAACCATATACATCTAGAGCCATGGGTATATCATGCAGAGGCTTTGCCTCAGTCGTAGATATGCGATCCGCAGGGCATGCGAGACAGCGATCCACCTGTGCAGCCGGATATCATCACATACTCCACCATCGTCAAGGCTTGGGTGATCCGTACTCATCGGTAGGGGGAGTGTTCCTATGGGGATTGGCTAAGCGATCGGGAAAGATACAGATGGGATTTTCATGGAAGTGAGCCAAGTACAGTACCCTCTGGTAATTTAACATAGCTATTGAAAATGGCCATTTATAGTGAGTTTTCCCATTAAAAATGGTGATTTTCCATAGTTATGTTAGTTTACCAGAGGGTAAGCCATCTGTATGTGCCCATCTGGCAACTGCGATGTGGCAAGCCGTGGGAACACGAGGATCCCAGTCGTTTGTAGACCTGGCTGGCCTGGATGGTGTGGTTATTGCAGCTCGAAGTTCTGTTAGATGACGGGAGGAAGGGACAACCACAATCGAATCCTTTTTGAGTCGGCCAGAACTCAACCACAACAACCATCTAGCCATACTATATATATATACATATTATATATATATACATATTATATATATATATATGTATAATGTGTATATATATATATATAAATATCTGAAAACAACTTTTATGTGCAGACTCGTGGTTTTCCCGAGTTTTGTGGTGGACAGCACGCCGTGAGGGCTACTGCATCGCTGGAGATGTGGCACGATGCCCAAGTTGGATGTCACCGGAGAAGCGTTTCACAAAACACTGGGAAAACAGTAGGGGGAATCTACTCCTCTATACAATAATATACAATATATATATGCAGTATATACATATTATATGATGAATATTGATGAATCATAAATATAGATGACATCTCCAGAAATTTGGAGCCATTGGAAGAGTCAACAGTCCGGAACATTTCGAAGATTCTCATGGTACATGGGATAGTTGTGGATAGTTGTGGATTTGTATTGCGCGCTTGATGGAACAACAGTAACCAATAGAGTTCCAAGCACGATCCTTCGCAGCAAGGAATGACACCAAGGCATTGACTCTTTTGGTGATTGAAAGAGTGTCCAATTCTCATCAAACCAGATCTTCACATACAATTCAAACAAATTCCTCGAATTCTTATACATGCATCAATTCGTTTTAATTCTAAGTGGCTGTCCGACACAGTATAGACAGTGTATATGTAGAGGCAAATGACAAAATCGTCTCTCTTTTTTTCGCAAAATTCAGAAATTTAGTTGGGGAAGAGCATATCTGGAAAGTCGTCTCTTTTCTTCTTTCCGCCGGCTGAACGCAGGATTTTGCAGCGTTTACTTGCGGAACCGAGGGTCTCACAGAGTTACCCATAGATATTTGAAATGGCGCAGGGTTCCACAGTTGCAAGGGCCCAGGTTGCAGGGTTCCAGGACTCCAAGGTTCCAAGGTTCCAAGAATACAAGGTTCCAAGGTCGTAGGGTTCCAAGATTCCAGGGTTGAAAGGTTCCAGGATTACATGGTTCCAAGATTCCAAGGTTGCAATCTTCCTGATACCACTCCCCGCCCAACAGATTGAAACCCAACAGAATCGTTGTTGAGAATTTCCTGCGTTTACATTGAGAACTGCATTTCCAAGTTCCTGATGTGCAAACACTTTGGACCATCAAAACCTAATTAATCTAAATGCAGCATTATCCGGGCATCATATTGCCTAAATTTGGTGAAAAACAGAGGGATGACTTCATAAATGTTGCACATGGGGGAACGCACCAAAGGGACGCGGAGGGATGTCATTATCCTCTTACCGCACATAGTACAATATGTATAAACACATATCACATATCACATATAAATATATATATATATTATATATATATAGACGCATATGTATGAACACACATGTATATACATATCTAATATAGATCGATTTCCATAGGACCGCGCCTTCGCCCTCTTGGACGAGATGAAGAAGTTGGGGAATGTGAAACCCGATGAGGCGGGACCAAAGGACGGCTGCGTCAATGTTTCAATGGGTCAAATTTGGATTGGTATATATGTATGATGTATGTGTGTATATGTATATATATATATTGTATAGAAAAAGTTAGCCCCAAATTAAAGATAGAACAGTAAAATCCCAATTTCCTGCTGGTGTTTTTGATCAAACAAATTCTCCGTTTTTGTGACAGTTCCAGCTCTGAAATCTGATGATTTGGGTGCCAAGTTGACTTGAGCTTTGGATCTTTTTGGAAGCACGTTGAGCTGATGAATGCACTGTTGCAGCCTTTTACCTTCAAATGATCATTTAGATGTGTGCAATTCGATGTTTCGAATCAGTCATGGAGGATATGGAGGAGTCTAACAGCCTGCAGCTACAGATCCACGGCGTGCATGGCCAGCAACTTTCTTTGTCGGTGGACCCAGAGCTCTCCGGTGCTGAGCTGCTGAAGCTGGTCAGGCAGCAGTTGCCTTCCAAGCAGGGCCTGGGGTTGTGGTTGTTCTACCAGAACTTGCCGCTGCGGAGAAGGGAGACCTTGAGACAACAGCTGGGATCCACGGAGTCACCCAGAACTCTGAACTACCTTTGGGCGCTGCCCAAGTTTCAGGAGGCTTGGAATCTCCTGCTGGCGGGCGCCACAGAGGTAGAGGGTGCACTGGAGGGAATGAGGTCCTTAGCCTTGACGCCAGGGTCCATTCAGTACTTGGACAATGTGGAGCTCCCCTGTAGCCTGGAGGAATTGAGCCTCCCAACTCTGCAGGGTCTGATCCTTCCAAAGAATCTTCAAGCCTTGATGTTTGGAGATGAGTTCAATGAAAACTTGACTGGTGTCCCTTTGCCAGAGACCCTTGGAGTTTTGAGGTTTGGCAACCACTTCGATCAGAGCTTGGAGCGTTTGTGTTTGCCAAGCAGTCTCCTGAGCCTTTCATTTGGAGACTGCTTCAACCAAAGCCTCCAGCAAGTCAAGTTGCCTAGCGCGCTTCAATCTATCACATTTGGGAGTGACTTCAATCAAAGCCTGGAGGGTGTGATGTTTCCCAAGAGCCTCCACACACTGGTATTTGGCAAGTCTTTCAATCAGCCGCTTGAAGGAATTGATCTTCCAGATGAGCTTGAGACCTTGATATTACAAGATGACTTCAACCAACATGTTCGCACTGTCCAATGGCCCAGCAAACTGATGGTCTTAAGCTTCGGTGACAGTTTCCATGGAAGTATCGATGCTGAAGGTCTGCCGAAGTCTCTTGAATGCTTGACATTTGGAAAATTGTTTTGGAACTTGACAGGGAAGTTGCCTGAAAACCTTGTGACCCTGGTCTTGGGTGAATACTTTCCAAGGTTGAAAAGAAAACAACTTCCTGGCGGATTGAGAAATCTGACCCTTGGCAGTCAAGCGGTTGAGAGTTTGGCTCAAAATGGCATTAACTGGCCATTGACTTTGGAGAGACTGACCTTTGGAGACCTTGTGGATAAACAGTTGGCAAACGTAATGTTTCTTGACAGTGTCTACAACATCACATTTGGCCAGCGATTCAACCAGAGCTTGTTTTTTGTGACTCTGCCTAGCAGCCTTCTGACGGTGACGTTTGGAGACGACTTCAATCGCAGCTTGGAGAATGTGGCTTTGCCGGTAAATCTGAAGTCTATTGAATTTGGCCGACGCTTCAATCAAAGCTTGGAGCGTGTGATTTTTCCCGCTGCTCTCCAGACTTTGAAGTTCGGGAGTTTTTTCAATCAGCCACTGCAGTGGGTCAGACTTCCCGATGGCCTTCAGACCTTGAGCTTTGGACTTTTCTACAACAGGACCTTGGAAGGTGTATGGCTACCTGCAAACCTCCAGACCATGACATTTGGACGTGATTTCAATCAAGCTCTGGACCGTGTGTACTTGCCCGCGAGCTTGGTGGCATTGACTTTCGGACGTGAGTTTAACCAGTCCTTGGATCACGTGTACATGCCCAAAAAGCTCGAGATGCTGTCCCTTGGGCAAGAATTTAACCGGCCTTTGCAACGGGTTTGGCTTCCTAGGAGTCTTAGATGGCTGAGCCTTGAAGGTCACTTCAACCACAGTTTGGTCGATGTGTTCCTGCCAGAGAACCTTGAGACTCTGCAACTGGAAGGCCGTTTCAATCAGAGCTTGAAAGGCGTGGCGTGGCCCCGGGGCCTCAAGATGCTGATCCTGGGACATGAGTTTAACCAAAGCATGGAAGGCGTTCAATTGCCTGACCTCAGCTGCTTGGTATTTGGTCAATCCTTTGATCAGAGAGCAGAGCATCTAGGGATATTTCCGGAGTCTCTTCAGAGTCTGGAGCATCCAGTTTTTGCTGTGAGCAGGTAGCTAAGTGGGGGTCTGATGACTGACGATCTCATTTTTGCCGCCAAAAATACTGGGTTCCAGTGGTGGAACGGATTTCAATGCTGGGGTTTTCCTGACCCCTTGAAGCAGCGTTTGCCTGAAATGGAATGTCCTCCACTCATCCCAGACGTGGGTGGGTGGAAAGTATCAAGAGCTTCATGGACAACCGGACAGCCATGAGGACAGAGAAAAGGCTGTGGCAGTTGAATCGCCCATTTTTTTGGGCGTTGCTTGACTGGGATCCCTTTTGACCCAGAAGTTTCAACTCCGGAAAAGGACGAATTTTTGGGCACTCATGTACAACTCCTAGTCCTATTCCAACACTTGTACTTCGGGGTCACTGGTTGGCTGGGCTAAACATTGAGTTCCAGCATTTTGTAGCGGCTGTAGCGCTTCACCTGTCCTGTTGAGCTGGTCTTTGCCGCAACATGTTTGTTGCAGGTGCTTTACAACAGCCTCCTGGTCTTTGACTCAGACTGAGAGATTTGGGATGGTCAATGGCGAAGATGTTGCGAGATGGTCATTCTGACAACGACACCATCCAGTGCATGTTTTTGTTTTTTTGGCAACAGCCCCTACGATCTGTTGATTAATGTTGTTTCAATCTCCTTTAACAAGAGAATACCACACATTTTCTTGTTGGGGGGGTAGCCAATTTTGTCCCGTCCCCATCTTCCAGACATCCTTGCGCATACCCAGCATAGCTGTGGCTTGGTAGGGAGCACTTCAGGATGGTTGCGCCAAGCAGTCGAGGGTGGAAGAGGCCTTGAAACTGTTGGAAGAAATGAAGCAGGAAGGCGCAGGGAGACCCAGCTTCAATGGATTCATGCGAGGTTTGTTTCGAAGAAGTACAGCGAACCCAGTTTTTTTTTTGGCAAAAAGAAAACTTGTACCTGGACATAAGTCGCTAAACATTTCGGGACCTCAATTGGGACCGTTCACCCAATCCATAAGGATGCTGACATATGCTGACTGCATCCCTCCCACAGTTTCGAAGATGTGAACCAGTTTCGAAGAAGTGATGATGACATGGCGGCCATGTTTTTTGGTTCCCCTACTATTTGAGCAGATACTGGTTATTACTGGTTGATATTGCACTTCCATTGAGATCAGTTTGGAATGGAAGTTTCTTTTCTTTACCATTCCTTACCACGGACGTCAACAGCGAACACTCTGCAATGGGACTAGCCCGCAACACCCCTTACGCCGATTCAAAAAGATCCTACGTCCTCTGAGCAGAGTCTAGTGGATAGTGGTCTGTTATACACCCTTATGGGTCTATCAATCAGCCAGGGGTCTCGGATTGACAACACTCCGACTTTATAGTCATTGTGGTCTTAGGTGGATGTTTTTGATGAATCAAAGATCACTCTTAGGAACTCCTTCGATAGCCTATGCTTACGAATCAGCAGCTGACCAGCAGTCGTGCAGTTAGGTGGTTCCGTCCAACTACACCCTCAGCATTCTCTGCAAGCTCCTGGGTCGCGGAAGGCACCTTGAACAAGCCTTTGAGATCGTGAAGACCTTTACTGAAGAGTATGGCTTCAAAGCAAATATCCAGGCCAGGGGAGCTGGGCTGCGCTGCATGGAGTTGAAGCTCAAATTTATACGGGAAATTCCTTGATGCTAATCGTAGGTAGTACCAAACCCTGACCATCCCTGACCTGGGTATACCTGGGTGAACTCGACTGTCTCAGCGAAGTAGGTAGTACCAAACTTTTTTTTATCAGGACGCAGTGCATCCACTGAAAAACCAGGTGTACCAAACTGGGACCTCTGCCGCCAGGTCTACACCTGCCTCATGCAGGCGTGCATCCACAATCGCCAGTGCCAACGAGCCGTGTCTCTGCACGACCAGGCCACCTCAAGGGCCTCCGCTTGGGGGTTGGAAGAATCCAATGATCCAATAAGTCCAGTATAAATGGAGACAATCATGTATGCCGTATGCCTGCAAAATTGCTGGCAGGCAGGTCAAAAATAGTCTCTTTTCACCGCTTTTCTTTACATCAAACAACTTCGTCTAAAATCCATTCGAAAGGAAGATGCACAGCAGTGCTATTGAAATTGTGCTCTAGATATCTCAAGATCTCAAGCAGTGACATGTGCCAAATCTCGAAACCTTGGATCGAACCTTGGATCCATCTCATGGTGACTGCGCAGCTGGCACGTGCCAAAACTTCATAGATCGTATTAAATCCATGGAATTCCAGAATGTGGGAAAGCCAATAATAAACCTACGTACCATTTTGGGGATGGTTTAATAATGTTTAATAGAACCCATTTGTGGATATTTATGGTGATTTTGGGGGTGGTAAGACAGGTGAAAATCGATCCTTTGGCTGTGCCACATGAGAAAAAATCTCGGCAGGTTGTGAAGGATGGCGTTTGCGTGCCAGACGCCAAGACCTACACGGTGGGGCCTCGCCGCGCTTGCTTTAATGAGCTTTGCTGGGTGGGGATTTCACGTACCCTGGTGATGTGGAAAGGCAATCTGTAGCACTAAGAAGTGGTCCTTTTCAGATCAGAGGGTTGTACTGCAATCAGCCAAGGTATCAGTATCAGGAACCAATGGTGATACATGGATACATGGATAGAGGGATGGATGGATGGATGGATGGATAGATAGATAGATAGGTAAATAGGTAGATACATAATGATACATAGATAGATAGGCGGACATAAGTTAGGAAGGTGATGTTACTCAGAGCGGCTGTTTGGCTCCATGAAATCACCAGACGTTGGCTGTTGATATGATTTCGACATCTTACGATAATGTGTTTTTTTTTTACTACTGTAATACACTAGTAGTTTAGAATCTATATCACTAGTATATTGATTGTTCTAGAATTGGAGGAATACAATATGCAGCGAAACATTAACTTGTTTGATCTTGTTTGCATATGGGTTGATTGTGCTGTAAGAAAGAGAATATCACCCAGCAAAAAGACATCGTCTTCATGGTATTCAAGATTGGCCGTCACCCCCCACTACAGATATCCCGTTATATCTCAGTTATGGTTGGACTATGTTGGACTTGTACTTCCATTTTGGGATTTGAAGCCCCAATGATTTGCCACTATAAGCAAAACGCACGACAATTGTGGTTGAATTTCATATCCAAAAAATGAGAAAACTCATGATAGTAAATGAGAAAACTCATGATAGTAAATGAGAAAACTCATGATAGTTGCACGACAAGTTTTGGAAGTCAAAAAGCAATCCCCAGCTGTTCCTGTGACTAAAAACGCTGTGGCATTTCAGCAATGCAGGTCTTGCTGCGAGGATGTCTCCAAGCAGGTCTGGTGGACAAGGCGTTAGCGGTAACGCGCTGCGCCTATCATTTGCCCTGAAGCCTGGTGCGGTACGAGACAACACAGGGCTCCTGTACGATCTATAGGTAATTTTCATTGATTTGGGATGTTACTTCATCTTTGCTCTATCTCTCTCTCGCTATCTCTCTTTCTGTGTATAAATAAACATGTACATATATATACTGTATACATATATATAAATATACATATTATCATTATATATATATACAGTATGTATATATATATATATATATGTACATATTATCAGCATATATATATATATGTATATGTATTATGTATACACAATCATACATTCATATATATATGTATATATGTAGTATATACACGATCACACACACATATATATATATATACATACACAATCATATACATATATATTCTAATATACATCAACAGATGTATCTACATACATGTATGCATACGCATGAACACAGACTATGAACATCTTGACAATGTACCCGTACCGTCTGCTTTCCAAGGCCGGGCCATGATCTTCGGGAGACCGATGGATGGTACCAGGGAGTGGGGGACTCCCAGGACAGGAAATGGCGCGCGTGGAACGTGCAAGTGGCATTTGTTGTTGTTGATGGTGATGGTGATGTTGATGATGTTGATGTTGTTCTTGATGATGGTGATCATGATGTTGATGATGCTGTTGATGATGTTGTGGATGATGATGTTGACGACGGTGATGGTTTCCATGGTAATGGTGATGACTTCGTTGTGGACGGTGGCGGCGATGGCGATGATGCTACAAGGGATTTGATGTACGGCATTCTGCGTATCGCTCTTGAGTTTGAAGAACACGCGAAGACCTGCGGACTGTTTCGGCAAGTCGGCACATATAAATGCACAAAGCGAGAAAACACATCTTACATGATGAAACAACATGCGACATCTCAGAGAATGGATTATGCTCATCATAGAGAGGATGCATACTCGTATGATTCATATGATAATTCATATATCTCTCTGCGTTTTAGACACTTGGTTTACATGCATATACATGTCACATGCTCATACTCATACACATGGGGGGTGTTCTGAAAATTGTGGTACCCTAAAACCATTGGTTTCGCTATTAATTATTGATATTAATTGATATTATTATATAAACATGAACAATGACTTTGATGATTTGCGAAGGGCTTTTCCATTCTAGCGAAACCACCGTGTATATATATATATATATATATACATAGACGGATTCAATCATTGACTTGTTGATGGTAATAAAGAAATTACTCAACAACATGGTGATTATCTTCTTTATTTGAGATTGATTTCAAGAAACCACACATGAAATACATCAGTTTATGGGTTGTATAAACTGTAAAATGGTAGGTTTATGGCATTGGGTTTACCACATTATATTTGGGCGTTTTATTTGCATGTGTATATATATATACATGTGATATCAACTATATAATATATAGATCAAATATCATGATATATTTTGTATAACCATACTATACATGTATACATATATTATATAACATCTACTATTTTATTTTTATGATACACATCATATATGCTATGTATATATATATATATATGTTTAGTCCATATATTATAGCTATTATCTATAAATCATATATATATATATATACATTGTGAAACGTATACATTTGATCAGTACAGATACCTCTTGAAGTGAACATGCTTGTACCTCCTAAAGCCAGAGCCAACCATCAAGTGATCCCAGTTCCTGCAGGGTGGTTCAACCTTGAATATCACAGGTGTTTGGGCTCAGGGAGCCAATTAGGAGAAGTGGCGGGCGGGATCACACCTTGCGGTAAGCCATAGGCATTGGCAGGTGACTTTCACAGCTGTGGCCAGCTGACGTTTGCATTGGTGGTGCAACACCCAGGAAAATCAAGCTGCGCGGCCGCGGCTACAGGTGACATTGGTGGTTGCTTGGGATCAGGGAGCCTCTGTTACCAATTCACATTGGTAGCGGAGCTCTCTGCATCCTTAGCAGAGAGCATCCAGGACCTTGTAAGACTGGTGCAACGACTGTCATAGAGACTTTGAGGGCATTGTCTGGACGGTTGAATTGACCATGTCCGAAGCTTCTGGAGGTGGTGAAACTCAGGTGAATATTTCGAATCAACTGGCATCGTTGGTTCCCAATTTTGATCCCAGCAAGGATGATCTGCAAATGTACCAACAAAAGGTCGAAATGGTCCTCTCAGTGTGGCCAGAATCCAAGCTTTCAGAACTGGTGACACGACTAATTTTGAATACAACTGGATCGGCGTTTGCAAAGTTACAACTGCATCACAAGGAGTTGTGTACAAATGAAGCCAAGTCAATTCACAGACTGATTGAGTATCTTGGTGGTCCCTGGGGCCAAACCGGCCTTGAACGTCGTTTTGCCGATGCTGAGAAAGCCTTGTACCAATGTAACCAACAGTCAGATGAGAGTCACGATTCATTTTTGGCTCGTGCAGACGTGTTGTGGTCAAAGCTGAAGTCTCAAAAGTTGCAGATAGATGACCTCCAGGCGTACATCACGCTTAGAGGCGCCAATCTCCCGAGCGAGGACAAGAAGCGCATCATTCTGGACTCGGACAACACCCTTGAAGGGAAGTTGACCATCAACAGGGTGAGAGAAGCAGTGCGAATGTTAGGAACCTCATTCTTCCAAGAAATGACTGGTCAAGCTCGCAAGAATCAGAAAACCAAAGTTTATGACTCCAACACCCTCGTGATGGAGGATGGAGGATTTCATGAAGAACATGATGAACCAGTCAATGCAGCCCACGGTGAGGACTGGAATGACGATGAGGTGCTTGAAGCACTGCTGGCCGAAGGGGATGATGACGCCATTTTTGTGGCAGATTTCGAAGCAGCCGCAAGTGAAGTCCTTCAGACAGATGATGATTTATCAACAGCCTACAGCACTTACGTTGAGGCACGTCGCAAGCTCAATGAGAAGGTGCGGGCAAGAGGATTCTGGCCTCTTGGAAAAGGGAAATCCAAGATGTCAAAAGGTCGTGGTAAAGGCCGTCCAACTTGGAACAAGAAGTCCCTCCAACAGAGGATCCTGGAGTCCAACTGCTGCTTGTGTGGGAAAAAGGGTCACTGGAAGTCAGAGTGCCCCAACCGAAACCAGGGGTCTTCCGGTAGTTCTCATGCCGCAGCTGCCACCTTGTCCGTTGCCACTAGCGCAGCCGGCGCTGATGATGCCATGCCTGCCGAGTTTCTTGAGCTTCCGATGGTAAGTGAGTCAGGAATGAAGGACAGTCGGTCAATCGAATCATGCCTTGTACAGGCAGTTTTTTCAAATGAGTGTTTTTTCCGACCATCTGCAAACATCCATAAACCTGTAGAGAACATGAGGGATATCCGGGAAAGAATTAGGTGTCGTATTGAGGGCAATAATGACTCTAATTCCAAATCGAAAGTTCAGTCCCTGGTGCACAGGATTGAGATGAAGCTGCAGCGCCGTGACAAGCATCCGAGCCAAACGCCAAGTGAAGTTTTGCCTGCAAAGCACATTTTGTGCCGACCCAACCTGAGAGATGTCAGCCGAAGCCGTACGCCTGCGAAGGCCTGTCCAAAAGTGACAGGACAACAATCGAATGCACCAGTAGCGAGCCCGATCCATGCCACTGCCATTGCCGAAGCTGACACATGGTTTGCATCACATGATACATGGGGGATTTTAGACACAGGAGCCACCAAAACTGTGATGGGTAGCAATCATGTAAAGGGTTTCCTGAAAGCACTTAGCCCAGAAGTCAAGAAACAAATCCAAAGGACCTCATGCGATATCATGTTCCGTTTTGGCAATCAGGGAACCCTCCAAGCTGTTCATGCACTTGTTGTCCCGTTGGCCGGCATGAAATTGAAGATTGCTGTGGTCGAAGGTGCCACACCGTTTCTTGTGTCCAACACCCTTCTCCGTGCATTGGGTGCCATGATTGATACTAGCCAAAATCAGCTGGTCTTGCCAAAGCATCACATCAAGATCCCACTAAAGCTGTCAACCAAGGGTTTGTATCTCATCGACACCAACGAATTGTTTAAAGTTGCACCCAGTCCGAGAAGCCAGATAGAAGCTGCCGAGACTTTTGCACAGGACGATTTTGCGCCTGCCAAAATGCCTGAGGACACTTCGTCCATTGCAGAAGCCGAGAACGTTGAAGAAAGGCCAGAGGTATCAGGTGAAGGACAAAGTCATGAACACACCCACATGTCATGTTCCAAAGTTGACACACCTCATGCCAAAGTCGTCCATGAAACAACACCCACAACCAGTCAGTTTTGGCCAGTCAGCAAGTGCCTTCGAGATCCACCAGCCCGTACGTCCAAGACCCATGGCGGACTGGCAACAGCGACTGAGTCGTGTTCAAGCTCAGATGCCTGCAGCCGAAGAGGAATCAGTGAGCCACCTGACCTTGGAGCAGTTGAAAGCCACTCCAATGTCGTTTGGCAAGGCTCATGTGGGCAAGAGCCTCGAGACAATATGGACGGATCACCCCGACTGGATCAGGTGGTTTTTCAACCACTACAAGTCGAGCCCAAAGACAGAGCACAAGAAGATGATCCGGTTCATCCAACTACGCATCGAAGAGGAGGAAAATCAGGGCCCACCAGCCTCTGCAGCCCTTCAGGCAACAGCCAAGCCAAAGAGCATGCCAAAGTCATATGCAGCCAAGGCAAAGTGCCAGCCGGCACCAGCCAGTCCTTGGCAGATTGCCGAAGGATCGGAGACGGAAGAGCTAGTGATGGAGCCTCCTTGGATCACAGCAGAGATGACCGAGGTCCAAGAAGAAGTCCAAGTCATTCACAGCCGTCTTCAAGGTCTCGAGAATGCCATGCAGCAGGTGATTGCACTGATCTCAGGGCAGGGACGGAACTCCAACGCGAATCAGGGACTTGCCCATCCAGAAACTGCAGTGATCGACTTGCACGACCCATGGGAACAGTAGAAGATCACGACAATCACTGTGACTGGTCGTTACAAGCAGGGGAAATCGATCAATTTTGTGAGACCATTCCCAACAAAG